GCGGAGGTGGAAGGGTCGGTAGCCAACCCGGGAAGAACTAGCAGCAAACCCGGGGACGGCCGACCAGACGAAAGAACAGCGCAGGGTCCTGTGTCGTTCCTCCACGAAGACGGGGAGCGACAAAATAAAAGAAAAATCTATGTTCACATAAAAATCTGTAGATAGAAGAAAAAAGAAAAAAATTTGTAGAAAGAAATTTACAGTGATTTACTCACCATCTCTCTCTCTCTCTCTCACACACACACACACACACTCAAACTGGAAAGACTCCTACATTAAGGTGTGCACAAAGAGGCCATGATAAAATTCTTGTCACCAATAGGAAGGAATACTACTAATAAACACATCCTCAAAAAAACCTCAAATGCATCATGCTAAGTCAAAGGAGGCAGACTCAAAAGGGGACACATTGTATGATTCCATCTGCCAGGTATTCCTGAAAAGCAATATGCTATCGGAAAATTAGTTAAGTTGTTGTGAGTAGTTAGCATGAGGGTGGCAGCTGACTATAAAATTTTGGAAGATGATAAATTATTTGATTATGATTATGGTTATATGTTTTTATACAACCGTCAAAATTCACAGATTGTACCCCAGAGGTAAGAAACGTCTGGCTTTAATGCCATATAAGGTCAGTGAAATCATTTGGTCTGGTCCTACCAAGACAACTGCAGGTAGGACTGAAAAATCAATAAATGTATAGCAGGCTAATTTATAAGTTGAAAATTTTGTAGGGCCCACACATGATTATAAATATGCAAATGGTCCTTGGCAGAAAGAAGTTTTCCCACCCCTACTGCACACTAAAAATACTGAATTTAGCCATAAAATGCACTTAATAAAATTAAGAAACACAAATAAGAATATCTAAAGGTTAGAAAAGGATATATGGTATACAAACTGTTACAAAATGAGATCTTCATTAAGATACATAAGAAGCAAATCAAACTTATGTTTTGAAATGAGCATTATACCTAACAATTTGCTAACCATGAGAAACAAGTAAAAGCTACTTCCTAGTTTTAAGCACATTGGATACTAACATGAAAAGATTTATTAAAGTAATGCAAACAAAATGTGAAAACTGAATCCATTAATATAGGTATGAACAAAAATAAATACATTTACCATACTACTTCATCAGGAGAAAAAACAAATTCACTGCCTTAATATTTAATGCTTCTAAAGCAAGCACACAAAACAATAGAAACATGTTAAAACTAGAAGCAGCTTAGGAATAATCATTAAAGAACTGTCAAAAAATTCTATTCACAGAACTTTATTTATAAATACACGTATATAAGAAATTGCATAGCAATCAATCAAATCCAAAATGAGTATTTGCTAAGAAGTTAAATGCAATTAGGCAGAAAAAAAGCAACTGTAGTTCAGAAAATCTTATTTCATATTAAAGAAAATCCTAGGGAAATGGATAATAGAAAAAGAAAATATATAACAAATCAATGTCTATTTGGAAAATACTAATTAGAAGGGTAAAACTAAATGTAGCCTTCTATCCGTCTATCAAACTCACTTTACAAAGTACCTCACCTCTTCCATATTGTTCTCTCCTTAGCCCTTAACTAAAATTTACAGTAACATCAACAACAACAAAAAAATCCACTGAATATGCATAACTGCATACTGGGTATGCATAGAAGATATTCAGTGAACTTCAAGTCAGATCCATAGAAAGTATTCCATCTGAAAATCACCTTTGTCAAAACACACAAAACAGAACAAAACTGAGAAAAAAGAAACAGGTCCTCAAAGATCTGTGGGACAGTATCAAACATCCTCACGAATGATCATACATGGAACTGACATCTGGAAAGAAAAGGAGTAATGTGGCAGAAAAAATATTCCAAGAAATATTAGCCAGTAAGTTCCCAAATTTAACGAAAAACATTGACTTCTGTTTATAAGGAGTTGTTACCCACAAGAAGGAGAAATTCAAAGAAAAAAATACACCCAAGCACATGTCAATCCAACTGCTAAAAACAAAACACAAAACAGAAAGCAGGTAGAGAGAAAAAACAGTATCATTACATAGAAAACAATGAAAGCCACAAGCAATGTAATGATACCTTTAAAATGCTAAAACAAATAAAAATCAATGTGGAAGTCTATATCCAATTAAATAGACATCAAAACAAGAAATGCAAGAGAATATTTCTCAATATTAAGGGAAATTATACCGATGGAAACTCAGATCTACAGGTAAAAACGAAAATGTCCAGAAACCGTGAATATGTCAGCCAATAGTTCTTCCTTCTCTTTATTTCCTTAAAATTTCACGGTTTAACACAAAAATAACAGTGTAGAGTTTGTAATACACATAAAACATATAACAGCTCAAAGAACAAAACAGTGGGTAAGCAGAATTTTATTGCTATAAGATTCTTAGGTTTGTTAAGCAGAAAGAATAAATCAGAACATCAGAAGTGTCACTTGGGAAGTAATGTAAGAGCTTTGAAATGACTTTAATTAGTGAAAGACATATAGTTAGTACTAACCTAACCCCTAAAGAAAATAACAAAACAGGTATTGCTCAAAACCAACAGAGAAAATTTAGAATTAAAAAAAAAAAAAAAACTTAATTAGTCCAAAGAACTTATGGTTGATTAACATTTGGTTTTTGCTACTGACAATTTACAATGATTGTATTCAACTTCACCATTCATTACTGGTGACCTCATGAAAACTGTTATCAAGTTTGAGACAAAAATTCTATTTAAGATTTTTCACGTATAACTGTAAGATTTATAACAATTCTCAAATCAGCTTCAGCTTCCATAAGATTCAGTACTTGTTTTTCCTCCACTAATTATGTAAGTCCTACAGTATGTGGAACAGGGTATAGTCAAATCCTGATTCAACTTCAGGCTCCATAACTTTCTGCCAGACTTCCCAAAAGGCAAGAGTGTTCTGGAAAACCATTCCTATACAAAGGGCATTAGTGATATTCCTATACATGGAACTGATCACAATCCACATAAATATACCTCACTAACCCAAAACTAAATCTATTCCATAAGTGAACTTTCTCTTAGCTAGATTCCAAAAAAGAAAATGTTGGCTGCTCCAATACCACTTTGGATGAGAGGAAATGTGATGGAGGGGAGGTCAAAATAGAAGAGATTGCAGCCTTAAACATCTATGTGTAAAGTATCTTACTTCTATGTAAATTCATTTCTAAAGTCCCCAACAGGGTTCCAAAATGGTTTATGCAAATGAAGAAGCCTTGAAGCTTGTGCTTCATTAAGTTCTAGTGATAAGACTATGGCACATCATTCTCACTGAAAACTCAGAAACAAGGCACATTGGGACTGCTTTTACCCAAAAGGATGAGAATATACAATCTGTCATCCTGGAAGTTCCAGTTGAACTTTCCTGTTCTAACAAGTCTGAATCAAAAACTCTCTCATGTTCATACAGCACAATGCTAATATCATACTTATTAAATTGTATTAGAGATTCAGTCATGGGTCAAATTCAACAAAAATGTGATCACCTTGAGTCTAGTGACTATATTTATTCATCTTTTTACTGCAGAATCTTATCAAGAATAAATCAAAATCTGTTTACCAAATAAATGCTGAATAATGAGAGGTACCCCAAAAAAGTTTGCAGAGCAAACTGCTGAAATCTTTCTGTGGACTGTCACCTAGAAAGCTATTCATCTCATAGACCAAATCAATTGGACTTGGATCATGTGCATCAAAGTCTGTTTTTGTTTTAGTCAACTGATACAACATTATGCCATTCTTTTGTTCTTTTTCTATACATTCCTTTTTATATCTATTCAAGAAATGTCTTGAAAATTAAACAGTAGCCTTCTTTTCAACACTCTGTCTCTGAAGATGTTTGCAACAAATCATGCTTCAAAAACAGTAATCTCCAACAATTGAAAAATTCACTTCTGCCTACCTAAACCTAGCTTTACCAGCCAAATTGAAGCATGATAAAGGAAAATTTATTGTTACTTAATACATTTATTCTGACTAAAATCTGAACACTTTGGAAAACTTCCCAAGACTCCTTAAAAATGAATGGACTTGTGTGTCCTGGGCTTAGGCCATGCATTCTGCACTGAACACACTTTATATTAACAGGGGCGAGCCGGCGCCGTGGCTCAATAGGCTAATCCTCCACCTTGCGGCGCCGGCACACCGGGTTCTAGTCCCGGTTGGGGCGCCGGATTCTGTCCCGGTTGCCCCTCTTCCAGGCCAGCTCTCTGCTATGGCCAGGGAGTGCAGTGGAGGATGGCCCAGGTGCTTGGGCCCTGCACCCCATGGGAGACCAGGAAAAGCACCTGGATCCTGGCTCCTGCCATCGGATCAGTGCGGTGCGCCGGCTGCAGCGGCGGCCATTGGAGGGTGAACCAACGGCAAAGGAAGACCTTTCTCTCTCTGTCTCTCTCTCTCACTGTCCACTCTGCCTGTCAAAAATAAAAATTATTATCCATTTCCCTAGGATTTTCTATACAGGGGCCAGCACTATGGTGTAGTGGGTTTAGCCAATGTTTGCAACAATGACTAAATGACTCCTGAGCCTGCATCTTCTGTGCCAAGTTGAGTCCCAGCCACTTTAGTTCCAATACAGTTTCCTGCTAAATGTGGCTGGGAAGATGGCCCAAGAAGTTGGCTCTCTGCCATTCACATGGGAGACAAGCACCAAGTTCTTGGCTCTTAGCATCAGCCTGATCCAGCCCCAGCTGTTGCCACCATTTGAGGCTGAACCAGCAGGTGGAAGATCTCTCTCTCTCTCTCTCTCTCTACCTCTCCATCTGTCTCTGTTAAGCTGCCTTTCAAATAATAAACAAATCATTTTAGAAAATAAAACTTTTTTTTACAGAGTCTGATTATTTACATTGCAATAAGAATAATATTTTGAAACATTAAATCTCAAATGTATGACAATGATAAAACCAATGCCTAGACCATTCTTTAGCATTCTTCTAAGAAAAAAAGAAAAACATGAGTCATGCAAATTCTTACCTGGATATATTTCTTGCTACAATCACAACCAAGCTGTAGGAATCTGAAATCTACTTCGTGGAATTTACTCAGCAGCTGAACCTCGGGCACCCCACTGACTTCTTTTATTAATTCAAGTGGCATATCAGTTCAGCATCACCAGCTTCAGCCAGGGAGTTGACAGCTTGCTGCTGAAGACACAAAAGATTAGTGTTTTATCTAAAACGTAATTAATAATTTGCTTTAAGTCTGACTTGGTTTTCCTTTCCTTTAAATATCATTTCCGGATGGGGGAGGGAGGAGGCCGGATTATTTTTCAATACATGGCACTCTTCTAAGCAATTTAAAATTAACCATCTTCTAGTTAGCGTTTGTATATATAATACTTCCAAAAAGCCCGTTTTAAGGCCTGTGAAAACTTCACCATCAAAGTCTTTAACACTGTCCTTTTGAAAAATGTTCGGGGTGGGGTGGGGGACAGAAAAGTTTGAGCTTTGGTTTTACTCTCCTTGACTGTTGTAATGCTACTTAGGCAAACTGCGCATCAAAAGCCTTTTAGTCCCAAGATATATCAGTCGTCTCCTTCCCCCGGCCCTAAATAATCCAAATCATCAAAATGACGTTAATCTGTATATTGTAGAATCCGATCATGACACTGACGTTAACTTAAAACTGTGCGCTGCAGGTTCGAGCTTACTTCTCAAAACCTCCTGACCGTCCCTGAAGAGAGGGATTGGATTTTCTCTCTCTAAAGGGCAGGGTAAGATGTTAAACGCACGAACGAGGAGGGTTTCTCCGCAGTAACTACATCAACTGTTGATCTAAGCATATCAACATCTTCACAATTCCAACTCAGGCCTGACCCGCTACGTACCCACGCATGGACAAAAAGAAAAAAAATAAAAAACAAAACTTTAACCCCACTCCCTAGGAATTCACTCACCCGCACGCTACTAACAAAACTAGGAAGAGTTGACACAGGCGCATCCGTGACGTCACACGCACAGCGCGGGCCGCCCAGCTCTCGCGCATGCGTGCTCGGTCGTCAGGGCTGAACCGCGGCTCGCGTACTTCCTACAGTCCTCAGGCCGAAAGGCGGAGAGAAAGCAGCGCCAGTGGGCCGGCCGGGCCGCCATCCAGGCCCCGCCCCGGCTGTTCCAGTCCGCGCGAAGTTTCTCCTTTCCCTTTAGCCCCGCCCCTCGTCGACGTCTGTCATTCTCAGGAGGAGGCTCCGCCCAGGGGAACTGGAGTTGGTGGCGGCGGGATTCCTAAACCTGTAATCAGAGATCTTTCCTAACCTCTAAGCCGGGGTGGAGATAGCTTTGGGGAAATTTAAAACCCAGGGGTTTACGCTCTTCCTTTCACGTCCATTGCTCTTTTCCCCAAAAGTTAAGCACTCGGATGCGAGCCTCACGGGAGATGTTTACAGGATAATTTAAGTTATTGATAGTTTTGAAAAGCAGTTTCCTGGCATTGGTATTATTACACCGATGAGTTATTCTATTTTCCAGACATTTGATTAAGCTTCTCGTAGGATTTTGGTTTTGTGGTATAGTTAGTGAAATGTACTTTTAAATGTGACCTGCTAATTCCCCGTATATGCCTTCAGCATTTGATTTAAGTGAAACTACCCGAATATGACGCTGTAAAGAGTCACCCGAATATTTCCAAGGCTGACTAAAATACCTGCTTTCAGTACATCTTTGCAGGAGGAAACAGCTATTTCGAAGCACCCCTTCTTTGAACAGGAAGCAGTGTCAGCCCATGTTCCCCTCTCATATGTCCTGCCTAAGCCAGGAGTGACTTCTGAGTCAGAGCTGAGCAGGCGTCTGTACAGGAAAGCTGTTAAGGGGTGGATGCTGTCCTCGCACCTTTTCTGGCCTCAACTAGGTGTGCAATGCCCTTCCCCCTCCATAAGGGAAGCTCTCCTCAGGAGTTTTGGGTGATGACCACCATTTCCTCACCACTGATGTTTTTTTCTGCTTATTTAAGCACTGAAAAAAAACAACTCTAGAACTAACAATTTAATGACTATTACAAGATAAAATTTTAAAGGTATAATGAAAAAAGTACTTATATAAAATCTACAATGTGAAAATGTTCACTTTTAAACAGTTGAAAAAATTCTCAATAATAAATAATGAGCACCAAAAGTGGAATAGACATTTTTATTAGGTAATGAATAAATATAAGGATTCAGTGCAGTTATTCTAAGTAATAAATCTATGTTGAAATAAATTCATCAGCAAATTTCTGGTTCTTCTTCCCTATCTTTAGGATTTTCAAATGATTCTTTATTATTAGCTTTTAAAAAAAAGATAGTATGTGGTACCAATAACATATATAAAGAAGAAACTGACCTAGACAGGAAACTCACAACAGGCCTTCCTCAAGTAAGAATTGAGCAGAAATGACAATACAGCAATAAAATAAGAGCAAATCAATTCTCTGAAGTAAATTTTGGTTTTACTACAATATATAGCTTCGAGCAGGAAATTCTCTGGTCCAGTCAATACATCTTTAGTCTTCTTCCTGTTAATACTCTAGCCCTGTCTCCAGCATTTATTTTGAGCTTCACTTCTTTTACTATCCCTTTGCTTTCAAAAGCCATAGATATAACTTTCACACTAGTAATAATCTTACATGATCCTTCTCAAAACTCATGCAAGCAAATGTACTATGGGTGAGACTAGACAGATTTGACTGACACTAAACAACCTCATATTGGTATAAGAAGTGATAATATAAATATATTACATTCCAAACAAAGTTTATAATACTAGCTGTATTTGCAGAATAGTGAATTATCTTAATAAAAAAGAAAAAAACAAGTTATAAACTCCTGGTTGTTGAGGAAGATGGAATTTCAACAAAGAGAGTTTATTAGTTGATCTTACAGTTTATACAAACAATTCATGCGACTTTGATGTAAATGTCCACCTCAAGAAGATAAAAGGGAGCTGCAATAGTTAATGATGGAATGAGTATTTGGCTTGGATTATACTACCGACCCATGCAGGTGATTTCACTTTCCTACAAATGGAGACCTTAGGAAGCAGCAGTAATGGGTCAAGTAGTTGGGTTCTTGCCACTCCTCTGAGAGACTGGCTTCTGACTACGAAAGCTTCAACCTCCACCTCCCACTGCCAGCCTCTCAAATAAATTTTAAGAAAAAGTTCATTGGAAAATGGAATTAAAACAAGTTTTTTAAAATAAGATTATATTTAAAATAAATGTTTTGGGGGCCAGCGCCATGGCTCAGTAAGTTAATCCTCTGCCTGTGGTACTGGCATCCCATATGGGCGCCAGTTCTAGTCCCGGCTGCTCCTCTTCTAATCCAGCTCTCTGCTATCGCCTGGGAAAGTAGTAGAAGATGGCCCAAGTGCTTGGGCCCCTACACCCACGGGGGAGACCTGGAAGAAGCTCCTGGCTTCAGATCTACATAGCTCTGGCCTTTGCAGCCATTTGGAGAGTAAACCAACTGAAGGAAGACCTTTCTCTCTTTCTCTCCCTCTCACTGTCTGTAACTCTACCTCTCAAATAAATAAATAAAAAATCTTAAAAAATATTTTGGTTCAAAAACATTGTAAAATCCATGCTTGTGTTTTAGATAATATACTTTTCCATGAACTTTGAAAGACCTCTTGTGTATAGATGATCCTATGTTTGGTATAAGACACCATTGCCTCTTAGGTGGTCTCACTTGCAGTCACTTAGTTAACCTTCTTTATGTTCTTACTATTTTCTTTCTTATTTTTTTCTCTGCTTTGATTTAGGTTAAAAACAGATTATAGCTCAGATCCCCCTAACATTTAGAAGGGTTTGGCTGTACCATATTCCTTTCATTAGTTTTCTAAGAATTTGGAAAATTCAAGACTCTCTCTCTCTCTCTCTCTCTCTCTATATATATATATAGTCTAATCAGTATATCTCCAGTGATTCTGAAAAGACAATTGAGGATTTTTTTAAGTTCTCATATAAGGGATATAATCTAATGTTTCTACATGCATGTCCACCTCTTTGTAAGCACAGAGTAAGCCTTCAATACCTGTTAGTGAATTACACGACCCACTGTCAATAATGGGGCTGAGTGCACCCAGGGCTCAGAGTCAGCTTTTCTGTTAATCAGTGCAAAGCCAAGGATAATTTCAAAACTATAACAAGGATTGCCATTTTTTCTTTCATTTTTCATTCTCTTCTCTCAGATAATTCTTACAAGAATGTATGGATGATATTGGTAGAAAAACAATATATCTGGCTTTTTGTTCCTTTTTTAGAAATATTTTTAATTAATGAATTTATTTTAAATATTTTAAGGTGAACAAATTTCATGTATTTCATATATACAGATTTAAAAACATAGAGATACTTCCCGCCATACCTTCCCTCCTGCCTACCCTTCCTCCTCCTTCCTCTCTTATTCCCTCTCTTAATTTTTATAATAATCTACTTTCAGTTTACCTTATACTAATAAGATTAATCCTACACTAAGTAAAGAGTTCAACAAATAGTTAGAAAAACATTGTTCCTCAACAGTAGAGACAAGGGCTATAAACAATCACTGAATCTCAAAATGTTAATTTCACTGACATTTAAACAGTCTTTCAGTTTGCCTCACTTGTTTATTCTCCTGATTAATTCAAATAAAATTTAAGTGAATACTTTTAATTTAAAATATTATTGATGTTAGTATTCCTGTATTTTAAAATTAATTCCCTTTACTTAACCAGATAGCTATTTATTTATTTATTTATTTGATAGGCAGAGATACAGAAAGAAAAATTCTCCCACCCATTGATTCACTTTCCAAATGCCCACAATGGCTAAGATACCAAAGCCAGGAGACCAGAACTCAATCTAGGGCTCCCATGGGTGACAGGAAGCCAATTACTTGAGCCATCACTTGCTGCCTCACAGGATCCTCATTGGTAGGAATGTGGAATCCCAAGTGAGAGCCAGGGATCCAACCCAGGAACTTTGAGTCTAGATGCCAGTATCTTAACCAGCTTCATAAAAGCCAGGCTAACACCCTATGTGGTAAGTTCATTCTAATTCTATTAGAATTATATTAACCTTGGTCATTGTTCAATGCAAGATTTGGATGATCAGCTCCTTTCTTGTTTTTGTTTTTGTTTTTAGTTTTTTTTTTTTTTTTTTTTTTTTTTTTTTTTTTTTTAAGGGAAAGAGTTTATTGGGGGAAACCAGACAGACCGGAGAGAAGAGGCAAAGAAGGAAAAGAGGGAGAAGGAGAGCATAAGAGAGAGATCGAGAGAGAGTGAGAGAGAGCTATCAAGAGACAGAGAGAGAAAGAAAAAGAGAGTGAGATCAGGAGATGGAGAGAAAGAGAGCCACCTGTTCAGGAACTTTAAACTTTGCCTGGGGACTGGCAGGGAAGTATGAATAGTGAATCCCATTAGGGTGGGGGTGGAGCTGACACCAGTGGTTGAGCCATAGGGGTCTCCTGGCTTCCGGCCATGGCAGCAGGGGCTAGAGCCTAGGATGGTCTCCATGGTGTAGATCGTACCATAAAGGCAGGAACTCAATTTTTGAGCCATCAGTGCTGACTCTCATGGTCCACATTGGCAGGAAACTGGAATAAGGAGTAAGAGTCAGGAAGGGAATCCAGGCCCACTGATTTGGAAACAGGTATCTTAATCAATAGGCTAAATATCTACCTCTGAGGTTTTTTTTTTTTAATTAAAATTTACTCACTATGTTATCACTTCTACACTTAAATAAAAATAAATAAATCAGAATCATTTTTGAAGGCCTCAAATATATTTAGCAAACTTCAATGCTAAAAGTGTCTGACAAACATTTGCACAATGGTTGCTCAGACTCCTTCAAGACCTGCCCTCCCCACAAACAGATGTCAAACTCTGCAACCATGCTGGTGTTTTATACTTGATCCTATTCCACCCTGATTTCTGGATAGACCAGGGTGATCAATTGATGACTTGACTGAGGAAGCAACCCATTGCCTAAGCTAAAGAGGATGGGATTGACATTTGTGTGCAAGTCAGTTGGCTTTGGCCCATGAATTGCAAGGAAAAAAAAAAGAAGGCTAAGCTAGCCATCATCTAGGAGAA